CTCTAACTTTGCTACTGGAGAGCGTAGAGTTTCTCACACACCTAAAGATACATAATTTAGAAGAATATGCAAACTCTTTCATCCTCATTGTTTTTGCCTAGGACAAAAGGTTTATTCATTTTTTTTTTTAATTTCTGAACTGGTCTATGGCTAGACTTCAAAGCAGTGGTTGCTCTCTTAGTCTTCAAGTTCTCTGAGAATACCTTAAGAAGCCTGTAGGAAAAGGTAGGAACGTCTGACACTGATTCCTACAGGAATCTTTTGGATTACCAAGAGTTGCAGTTCCTTTTCTGGACCTTCCCTGCGTAGCTCCCAGAATTGTATCTGTTTGATTAATGCAAACGTGAGGAACTGCAGAATTCCACAAGAGGTTGGCAAAGGACCTAGAAAGACCAGGTTTTGAAAGACACTTTCACAAAATAGAAACCAACCCTCTTGCTTATATCAATACTTAATGTGATGTGCCATTTGCAAGTCATGTGAAAATAAAGCAAGAGCCTGAGATATCTTACCCCAAGCTTTCTGAACATGACAAGGCCTTGAAATGAACTCTCCAGTGAACAATTAGATCACAAAAAGCAAGAAATATAACCTGTTCTGCTTCTGCTAGGCTTCCTGTCACACTGATGGACTATGCTAGCACCCTAGCCAGCCTGCCATTCTTGCAGAGTCTGCAGTCTAGCTACATGTGGCTTCTATGTACTAATGTTTCCCCACCAAATTAAGGTATGCCATAGTGTAAAGCACACACTAGATCTCAAAGCACTTAAAAACTGTAAAATGACTAATGCCTAGGTCTTTGAACCACTTTGAGTTGAGTTTTGTGCAGAATGAGAGATAGGGCTTCAATTTCATTCTGCTCTCTATGGATTTCCAGTTTTGCCAGCACCATTTGTTGAAGAAGGTATCTTTTCTCCAATGTATGTTTTTAGTGCTTTTGTTTAGTAGGAGATAACTATATTTATGTGGGTTTGTCTCTGCATCTCCTATTCTGTTCTGTTGGTCTTCATGTCTGTTTTGGTGCCAATACTATGCTGTATTTGTTACTCTAGCTCTGCAGTATAAGGTCTGGTATTGTGATGCCTCCTGCTTCACTTTTCTCACTAAGGACTTAAAATCAGCATACTCTAGTAACACATCAATGTTTAGAGAAGCTCAATTCACAATAGCTAAACTATAGAACCAACCTAGGTGCCCTTCAACAGATGAATGGATAAAGAAAATGTGGTTATATACACAATGGAATATTATTCAGACATAAAAAATGACTTTATGTCTTTTGCTAGTAAATGGATAGGTGGATCTGGAGACTAAAATGCTAAGCAAAATAAGCCAATCTCAAAAAAACAAATGCCAAATGTTCTTTCTGATATGTGGATGCTTACAAACTAGGGAGGGGGAAGAATAGAAGTTCATTTGATTAGATGAAGGGAAGGGAGTGTAGTTGAGAACAGGAAAGACAGTTGAATGACTCTGACATAACTTTCCTATGTACATATATGAATATACCACAGTGAATTTTCCACATCATATACAACCACAAGACAGAGATCCTAATTAAAATAAAATATACTCCATGTTTGTATAAATATATCAAAATATACTTTCATGAATAACTAAAAAGAACAAATTTTTTAAAAATGTAAAATATCTCAGTAATTTTGTATTGGCTACAGATTGAAATGACATTTTAAATATATTACATTAAGTAAAATCTATAATTAAAATTAATTTTCTTTCTTTTTTACCCTTTCTAAATGCAGCTACTAGAATATTTAAAATACATATGACTCTCATAATATTTCTAGTAGACAGTGCTGCTGAAGATCTTTGAATTATAGGATAAAGACAGATACAACCTTTGGCAGAATGAGCAGAGGTTTATATATAGACTGTATTCAACAGATATCTCCCATGTTCGTCTGTCCTCAATGTTTACATTTGTAAGTAGCATTCTGATCATAAAAGTCCCCTTTAATATCACCTAGAGACAAAGTCTTGTTGGTTTAGGCTTTTTCTTGAGCCATATTATATATTGAATGTACTTTAGTGAGGAAGTGTCTTTGAACAGTCCCATCCTGAATGTCCCCTAGTCATCAAGGTGATATTCTCACAAATTGCTGTTGGTGATAAAATTTTACTTTGAAAATTACAATGCCTTCATTGGAATGCTGACTCTGCTGGAATTAATGAAGTGTAGAAATTCAGCTCCTCCTCATAAGTTTGCCAAATAACTAGACTCACCGGAGCAGGGCAGACAGCAAAGACACCAAGCCCTGGCAGGAAGTGACTGGGCCCCAGAGTGTTGGCAAAGACAGTCCTTTCTTTACTCATTTATTCATAAAGCAAACATTTATGAAATGCCAAACACTTCGATTTGTGATTTTCCTCTTTTATGGGCTTTATGATGGAATAGATACATCATTCTCAAAGCGGAAGATGTTTGACAGCAAACTTTTCAAATGTTCACCAAAACCGACTACTCCCCTCCCAATCCCTGGATGGTGGTTGTTAGCTCAGAGGATGAAGCTCACTCCCACCAGATGTTTGGTTGGTTGGTTGGTTGCTTGGTTGCTTAAGGTTTTTCAACAGTGCTTTCAAGTCACCTTGAACATTGACATCAAAGTTAAAAGACAGCGAAAGAGAGGAAGAGGTGGATGAAGGAATAAGTAAAACATCAGTGAGCTTGTCCTCTTTATTGTAGTGTTTGTTCCTTCCTTTCCTTCTACATCCCTCACCAACCTCTCTTTTTATTAAAATTGCTTTAGTGTTTGGCCATCTGTTTTTCTCCATGCTTACATATATGGAGTACAGATCTGAATTATTCTGGGGAGGAGGACCTAAAATTTGTCTAATTTGGAGACTCACTTTAAAAATACAGAATTTTTATTCTGGATTCCTACAGGTGGCACACACACAGGGACTTGGAAGGCTGAAACAAGAGGATCACAAGTTCAAGGCCAGATTCAGCAAACTAGCAAGGCCCTCATCAATTCAAAATAAAAAATAAAAAGACACCCCTGGGTTAATCCCTAAAACCCCCCCAAAAAAATTACCATCATAGAATTGGTATAGAACATTAACAGGCACCCATGCAAATAAGAGGTCTCAACATTTAAACTTCATTAGCTTCAAAATATATCAGCTCTGTGCCTATGATACCATACATGTAATATGTATTATGTAACATCATACATATAATATGTATGAGATGGGAGTGTCTTGTTATATTTTATTTATTTTAAAAGGATTATAAACACCCTTCTGTGTCTTTTCAACAATATAATCTAGAAATCATCCTAGGTAGTATCGTTGAATTCATTTTTTTAAAAATGTTCATATCACATCCATGATGTACATGTACCACAAATTATCCAGCCATCTCCCTTATTAGGTGTACATTCCTTTGCTTATAGTCTTCTCTTTTGAAGAAAGGATTCTTTCGCTACTATACAAATGCCACAAAAATACTTCTATAGTTTTTTAAAAACTGTGAACTTTTAATAGATTGCACTAAATTTATTAATTTTTGGAGAAGTAGCAATTTCATTATGTTGAGATGTTCTAAAGAAGAAAACAGTATGTTTTTCCACTTGGACAAATCCCATCCATAGGGATCCAATAAAGAAAATAAAGCTTGTGGGCAAATAGCCATGATGTGAGAAAAAAGGAAAACACAAATTATAAAACATGAAAGTAATGGGAAGAGAATACTCTAGAGGTACAGTCAGGAGAGGAGAGTTAAGAGAAGGGGGGAAACTAGGAGAAAGCAAACTCAGCTGGAGCACAGAGACATTTGAGAAACAGCAAGTAAGCAGTTCAGAGGGGCTGGAACAGAAAGTGCAGAACCAGGAGATGAGGCCATGAGGTAGGTGGAGCTCAACAGAGCCAAGAATTCCAGACAGAAGAGAGTATCCTCCTTCAGCAGGGCAATGGGACCCACAGCCAGTTGGGGCCAAGAAGAAAATGAGAGCTCAGTTTTAGGATTACTCAGGCAGCCTGGGAGGAGAAGGCCGGCACTGAGGCAGAGAGCAGCAATAGTAGTCCACGGGAGACCATATGAGACCTTGGCTGGGTGAGAAGAGAGAGGAAGGAAGAGAGGAACACATCCTGTGGCACCAGTGACGGGAATTCAAACACTAGATTAGGGAGGGGAAAATAAGGATGCTTCTAGTCTTGAACCTGGGCAAACAGTAGGATGGTGACACCATCAACACAGATGAACAAAGCAAAAGACAGTGTTTGGATGAAAGATTTGTTTTGAATCGTTAAATGTAACATGCAGGCAGGATATTCAAGTAGACACAGCCTGGGCTAGAGCCCAAAACATGAAGGCCATCCTGGTCTTTCAAAGAATAGTGATACATTTTCCTACTTCCCTGCAGGCACCAAGCAGATGAGCTCATGTTCAGAGAATGTCAAGCCTCCTCACACTCCACAGGCTTATCATCTTTCAGAAAAAGTTAACTTCTGGACTCCTTACACTGCTCACAGAGTGCCCTTCTTCAACATCTGCTATGGTCTGACCCAGCCTGGACAGCCACTGCCTAAATGCCCAGACAAGACATCACCTGAAAGCCTCATAACAGTGCCATGAGAAAAAGTTCAATGAACTCTTAGAACTAAGTGCATTCAACTCTGCTTCAAAATAGAATACATACCCTCAAGAGCACTGTAAGGTATATATCCAGTTTTGTTTTAAATAAAACTGAATTTTCAAATAAAAGTAGCTTATAATTTTACCAAACTATACTTCAAAACTATTTTTTCTTCCAAAGGTACAAAGTGATTGTCAATAAAGTTTGATAAGACAATATATAGAGATACATGACGTTTTCCTAAATTAAAATGTTGGTGATCCTTGGTTCAACGATAATAAACAAAGCTGAAAAAAACAAAACAATTGGTGGGGGGATTCAAGAATACTTTTATTTAGCAGTTAGATGGGAAAAAATAATCAATATGAAATTATATTTTGCAAAAATATTAAATATACAAACCTCATAATGTTCATATTCCTCCACATCAAATGTCTCAAAGTCAAAAAATCCATGTTGTAATCCCTAAAAGAAGAAGAATTTGAATTAGTTTTTATACTTAATTGATGGAATACACTCATCATTTCTGAAATTCACAATAAAAAAAATAGCATAAGAGCTTGAAACTTAATTTTATGCATCTCTAGAAATCATTTCATAACAGTGGTCCCACACAGGATGTCTCTTGGATGCTAATTTATATTAATTTTACTTAAAGTTAATAATGCATATAAAATGGGACAAATTGGCAAATTTATGATTAAAGCCTACTGAGAACTATACCTATGACAGAATAAATATTAGAATGATTAACTTATCAAATAGAAAAATAATCAGTTATTCTTAGAAAGTTTTGTTTTCTTTAACCTAATAATATTTAACCAAAAATGGCATTTTTAATTTCTAATTTACTTCTAAAATTCTACTTTGAGACACTCTGTTTTCTGATGTTAGTCTGATGTTAGAAGGAAAAAAACTGATATTTTTAACAAAACAAAAAAAAGCTTCATACTTTTTTTTCTAACTAATGACTTAGAACTTTTTAAAATTATCTAGCTTATTCAGATCTAATATTTTCAGGAAGACAAATAGTCTTCTATTTTATAAACCCTGAAGTGATAGAGATTACAAACTTACAGGCACTTTAAAAGTTATATGGTCAAGCCATTAAAAATAGAAAAAGAAACTAACAAGCTAAGCTCCAGTACTTCCAGCTTCGAAAAACCTTTAGAGTATTTTTTCAAATTACAGGCCACAGGCCACCAGCATCAAAACACTTGATTTTAAAGACTTGAAAATAGTTTTCATAAATAGTTTTCATAAATTTCATAAAAGATTCATGGGCTGAGGCTGAAGCTCAGTGGTAAAGTGCTTGCCTTGCATGTATGAGGGACTGGGTTCAATCCTCAGCATCACATAAAAATAAATAAAGATACTGTGTGTTCATCTACAACTAAATAAATATTAAAAAAAAAAAAAAAGACAGATCTTGGGCCCCTTCCCAGAACTGCTAAATGGGGCACAGGATCAGCATTTTAACATGCTTTTCTAGGTGATTCTTATAAATTCTAAATTCTGATAACACTGGTTTAGGCAATTCCTACCCAAAAAGAAGAACAAGTTAAACCTTTTAAAAAGCAACTTCATTCATTTATACTCACCATTCCAGAGAAAATGGTGAGAAAAATATGTTCTAAACAATCTAATTTTCTTCCTTTCTCCTTATTTTTAAAGTGTATACTTGCATATGTGTCTGTATGTTCACATAACACATGATCTACGCTTATGACAATGTTAAGACATCAAAGCCAGAAAAATATCTTCCCTAAAAAGGCAAAAATGTGGCCACACTTTGAGCACCCATTCTCACAAGGGTTCTCCCCACCATAAAAACAGCCCAGAACATGGCACATCATGTAAGGTAGTATACACAGGACAAGATTTCTCCCTTGCTTAAAGATGTGTGGAACATCTATCGGATCCTTTAAAATCTCATCTATATTTGGGTAGACCCCACCATCTGAGAAAACAATAAGTTTAGAGAAGGTTGTATTCATGACTAAAGTCCACCTTTCCTGTACAACAGGAAGCATGTCATGAATTTCTATATTGAGACACCAGTTACCATAATAACGGCCAGGGATATTCCAGTGAGAACTCTTTCTGAATTTTGTGTTGTAAAAGAAGCAGCACGTACCAGATGGAAGGAAAGGCTAAATAACAATAATAATGACAATAAGTAAATCACTTTTTCCTCTCAGGCATTTTCTCTAAATGCTATAATTATGGGTTATATGTAGGGTAATATCTCCATAAAATCTTTTAACTAGTATTTCTAGAAGTATATTTCCATTATACTGTTGGCAAGGGTGGGCTAAAGCATCCTTATAGCTTTTATGAGAAGAAAAATTTATGAAAACTATTTTCAAATCTTAGAGGCTTTAAAATATCAGGACTGGGGGCAGGGTAGCTCAGTCATGGAGCACTAATCTAGCATGCACAAGACCCTGAACTTGATGCCCAGCACCACAGAAAAAAATAAATAAAATATCAAAGTCAGAAACAAGTATACATAAAACAAGCAGCATAATAATAATAATACTGTTTATCTCAATTCAAACATATCAAAACTAATTTTATATTACAAAAAAGAAACTTGTGCTAGCATCCTACTGACACTATATATATACTGACACTATATAACCAATGGGTTACATAACACATACATTTCTGTCTGATAACAAATCACAACTTTACGTCCAAGATGGAATTGTGTACTTTCAGAACTCATTAAGAGTAATCACAGGATAACTTGCATGTCTTCTCAGATTATAAATTAAACATATCCCAAAAATATAAAACACAACTAACTAACTTCAGAGTGTATCAAATTATCTGGAGGGGCTGTTCAAACACAGACCAAAGGGCCCCACCCCCAGAGTTTATGACTCAGTCAGTCATGGGCAGGGGTGAATTAACAGAACAGTGGCTTAGATAACTTCCTGTCTCTCTCCCACCAAGATCTAGCTTCATAATGAAGCTCAGTGGGTAACAAAGAAATGTCACTGGCACAGCTTCAGGTAGAAGTGATCAATTTGGCCCAGAACACAAATAGTTTAAATGAGAAAGAGAGGCGTCTCTCCACCCAGGTTACCCTATTGTCTGTGCAGTCTCCCTCCATATCCAAAGGGGTTGGTTCCAGTATCCTTCACAGATACCAAACTCTGCAAATGCTCAAATCCCCTATTATTAAATGGTGCAGTATTTGCATATAACCTACATGCATCCTCCCATGTACTTTAAATCATCTCTAAATGACTTATAATACCAAATACAATGTAAATGCTAGATAATATTGTATTGTTTAAGAAATAATGGCAAGGAGGAGATGTTCAGTGGAGAAGCTCGGTTTTTTGTTTTTGTTCTGGTTTTTTTACACTCCCCAAATATTTTCCATCTGAGGTTGGCTGAATCATTGAGGAGGAACCCACAGATACTGAGGGCCAGCTGTACTTTTCAAATCAATCATCATTCAGGAATCGAAAACCCTTCAGAGCTCACTAGTTCCCCTCTCTCTTCTCCAATGGCAAACAAGGGTGTTGGAATTATTCCTTCTCTGTTTTTTTAAACTACTGTACCAACTACAGCAAAAAAAAAAATTGTTATTACCTTTCTGATTCCCTGTAAACAGTCGAGGATGGTGAGATTGTAAGTGCAATTTCCAAAGGAAGCATCCCTACAAACATAAATAAATTTAACATTAAAAACTTGCATTCATAATTTTCAAGTAAAATATCTAAGGCAGTTTGAGATGCGCTTGCTCAGCTTCATGTTGTCAATATGGCAAAACTTATGTAGCATGTCAGAACCTACTGGTTAACTATTAATGCAACTTCACTGAAACACTTCTGAAATTGCTCTAATTCAACAAGCAGAATTAATAAGAAAGCAGATTCAAGTCTGAACTCCAGAGTCAGACTGCTTTGGTTCAAATTCCCACTCTGCCATGTACTGGGTAAGAACTTGAGCAAGTTACTTTACCTCTAGGAGTCCTGGTTTCTTCATCTGTTGAAGCAAAGTTAATGACAGCAGCTAGCATTCATAAGGATTGATATTGGATTACATTAAAAAAAAAATAGGTAAAGCCCTTCAAATGTGCCTGGCACAAAGAAAACACTTAAATGTTATTACCACTCTTATTAACAGTGAATTGAGCTGTTTGGTTAAGTAAAACATTCATCATTACAATAGGCCTTTTGGCAGGGGACCAATCTTGTCAGGAGTGTGATAAACATAGCATTAGAAAGGTAAGGGGGACACTGTATGTAGGTCAATAGAACCTAGTAGTTACTTTCATGAATTAAAAGCCATCTCTCCTCCCTACAGGGAGAAAGGAGAGGGCTGAGGAAAATACAGTCACACTTCCCAACAGACAACCTCCTGGGATCCATGAGGGCTACTTATGCACCCTGAGGTGCTCCGTCCAAAGAGTGGGAACCTACTGCACCAAAAATTGAGGGCTTCATGCTTTATTTAAGTTTTTAGAGCAACTCAGCATATCTACTTCAGGCAACATAAAACTGAAGTATCAAGTTCAGGTCAGTTAAACAAGAACTGGCACGGGAGCTTTAACACTAGCAATGTTCCAAGGTGTCTGAGGCAAGAAACTTGACCTCAAGTCTCTTGGTCTCTGCCCAGCCCCCACTGCTGACCCAAGAAGGGAGCCCATGCCAGGCACCTGCCCTGACAAAGTCAAGTCCCTGAGCAACACCAGTATAAGGATAGCTCCTGGGAGAGAGTCAGAAGATGTCCAATGGGAGAACACAATTTTTAAGGGTTTTCAACGTAATTAACATAAAACAAAGCTTTATATCACTAGCCATCCAACGTACCTAGAACCTGTGGCTGCTAAGCCATGAATTAAAATGTAACCCGAAATTTACTGAGTTTCGGGCCCTGATAGCCTGATACAAATCGAGTGAGTTAGCCAAGGTTAACAGAAATGGTGCTTAAATCCTGAAACTTCAAAAGTAACCTATGTAAATAGAAGGATCAGTTCAGATATTTAAATTGATTTCAATAGGAGTTTTGTTGTTTTGTTATTGTTTTTAAATATCATCTGAACTTATTTCAGTGAAAATAAAATGTCTTTTCAACTATCTTTAAAAGCTATAAAACACTTGCTAAGAAGCAAATTTTAATGACTGATACCAGATAAAGGAATAGCTGGAGATCTAAGATAAAAAACTAGTTTTAAAAAACAATTACACATTCCTTTGCAAATACCTGTCTCTTTGGGGCAAGGATTCAGATTCTAGGTGCCATGGACCCATTTTTTAATGATCTAACGTTTTCAAATGAATAAAATAAAATATATAATATTAATGAAAAACCAATTTAAACAAGGTTATCAAAACATTAAAGAAAAAATTTATAATACCTCAAAATACACTTTTTAAGTTAATATATGACAAGATCTAGTGACAGATCTGATAACCACTGTACTTTTCAGCAAGAAATGAGCAGAAATAATATTTTTTATAATGTTGATACTAGTTTCTAGATTTTTTAAAATATTTATTTAGTTGGAGATGAACACACAATATCTTTATTTATTTTATGTGATGCTGAGGATTGAACCCAGTGCCTCATACACAGGAGGCAAGCACTTTACCACTGAGCTACAGCTCAGCCCCCAGAAATAATATTTTAAGATTTAACAACTGTAATGTGATATAAAAATGCCTGTGATTTCTAGTGACAAAGTCAAATATGTTGCTAAAGCTACTATAGTTCACTTCCAAATTTTATAATTAAATACTATAAATTATAAGTTTAGTGAAAATAAAGATAATTTTCTTTTCTCACCTAAATTCACTAGCACTCAAGTAGGTCAAAAACTATTGCTTTAATTTTTTACAAGGAAAATTCCTTTGTATTCAAAAAGAGTAAAAAACAAATTTATAAGAATTGGAGGTACTTCCTATTCCTTTAAATATATCTTCCTACCCCTAGCCTCAACTAAATGATTTCACAAATAGACCTAATCTCTCCGGATGTCTGCAAACTATGCTAAGACTATCCTGCTATCTCTTGTCCTGTCACAGCCATAACTGTTACCAAGGACTGAAAAGACAGCTCTGAGCTGGGCACAGTGGTGCACACCTGTAGAGCCAGCTACTCAGGAGGCTAAAGCAGGAGGATCACTTAAGCCCAAGAGTTCAAGGCTAGCCTAGATAACACAGCAAGACTCTAAATAAATAATATAAATAAAATAAAATTGTTTTCAAAGAAAGAGAGCATGTACTCTGATGACTTAGTGGTCAAATCTGCACACAGGCAAAGCTGGGAGAGATGAGTTCATATGCCACGGGACAGAATAAGGATACAAAGCAGTCTCAGCAAACTGGAAACACAGAAGTTTACAAACTGAAATATATAAGAAGGAATGCCATGAAATTCAGTAATATCCTCCTGACTGAAGGAAGGAGATGACACACCTCTTTTGAGCACCTAGGATGCCAGCTAATTTAGATACATCATGACAGCAACATAAAGGAACAGATTCCAAACTTGCCCCCACACCAGGGAAGAGAAAAATGGTTTATTAGTAACATCTGGCTCATTTACAGACACAAGAGAGTAAATATACAGTGAAAGGACACAAAAACATGTTATACATTCCCTGGGGCCCAGGGCAGAAAGTCAAGGAGGAAAATTAAGCCCAGGAATCTACCACCAACCCAGAAACTCTTTCAAAACACTTTTTCAACCCTAGTGTAATCAATCCAATGTGGACAGGGAGAATAAAGAAAAAGAGAGAGAGAGAGAGTTTTGAAAGCTGGAGATCAGATGAATAAGTGGTAAATAAAGTTGAAGGCCAAGAAAACTGAATACCAAGCTGACAGTGGGGGAAAAAAACATAACTAACACAATTAATACCAGATAATTCTCAAAGGCTGGGTAACTAACAGGACAGGGTTCTTCTAGAAGTCAGAATAAAGCACATTCCATCAGTAAGATTTGAAAGCCCATTAAAGTTGAGAGATTTTATTCTATAAAAGTAATATTACCACTCATTTTATAAATCAGTCCTCCTTGTTGATTTTCCTCACCTACTCAGGTTAGTCAGAATCATTTGAAAATAAAATGGATTGGTCCTAAAAGGCATCGAGGTACCTGCCCCACCCAATGTTCAAACTTGAGTAAGAATTTTTCTCATCCATGTTATAACATGAAATGGATCTCAGGGGTTAGGAAAACAATAGGCTCTATTAGTCTCAAAAGTTCTTTCCTATGTTGAAATTATACCATTATTTAACACTATCGATATTCTTTTTCTGATCCATATCTCTTTCCTGGATTCTTCCTAAAAGAATTTAAACACTTTTAGGTCTCTACCATTTTTAAAAAAGAACAAGTCATCCAAACTCTGTTGACTCCACATTTTGCTTTAGATACCAGCTTCTTTTGTGCCCCCTCTTTAAAAGAAGACTCTCTAGGGGAAGGTAGGGCCTGGCTCAGTAGTGGAGCTCTTGTTGAGCATGTTCAAGGCCTTGAGTTCGATCCACAACACAACCAAAATTAATTAATAAATAAATAAACAAAAACAGAATACACCTGTAAAGAATTACTCAACTTCCTCCTTGAAACGCACAGTTTGGTGGGGTTTAGTATGCTAGAAATGTTTTACAACCCCATCATCATTAATTCCCAAACACTTTTATCACCCCAAAAAGAAACTATATGATCATTTGCAGTCACTCCTCATTCTCCCTTCTCCCAGGCCTCTGCAATCCCTCATCTAGTCTGAGGACCCTCTGGCAAGCACCATCTTACTCAACATGTCACCATGAGTATCTTCCTTCTTTGAATACTATTTTCTCTTGGTCCCTGGATTTTCCTTCTGCCTGTCCAATCGCTACTTCCCATCTCCTTTGCAAAGTTACCCTTCACTTCCTTCTCGTTAGACTTCTACAAGGTGCAATTTCAGCCCAAATTCTTCTCGCTCCATTCTCTCTCCCTAGACCAGGAGCTCTCAAACTTCAGTGTGCACCATCATCACCTGGATAGTTCCTTGAAACATAGATTTCTGGGCCTACCCCAAGTTTCTGACTCAGGTCTAAGACAGGGCCTGAAAATTTGCATTTCTAACAAGCTCCCAGGTGGTGCAGATGCTGCTAGTAAGAGGAAACACATTTGGAAAACCATTTGCCCTAGACAATCTCATCTACTTATCTATCTACAATGATACTCAAATACATCTTTCTAGCACAAACTCCTTATTTTAACATTTTATTTTTTCTAATTAGTTAAACATGATGGCAGAATACATTTTGTATCATTGTACACAAAGGAAGCACAATTATTCATTTCTCTGGTTGTATATGCTGTAGAATGGTACCATTTGTGCAATCATTACATGTACCTAGGGTAATGATGTCCTTCTCATTCCACCATCTTTCCTTCCCCAGTGTCCCCTCCCCTACACCCCTCCCCTATGCCCAATCCAAAGTTCCTCCATTCTTCCCAGGCCCCCTCCAGCAATTGTGGATCAGCATCCACTCATCAGATAAAATGTTGAGCCTTTGCTTTTTTGGAATCGGCTTACTTTGCTTAGCATGATATTCTCCAACTCCATCCATTTACCTGTAAATGCCATAATTTTATTCTCTTTTAATGCTGAGTAATATTTGTGTGTGTGTGTGTGTGTGTGTGTGTGTATAGATAGATAGA